CCTGGGTGAGGCGAGTGTCAGACTCTTACTGACTACAAACCTACAAACAACCCCTTTCCTACTGCTGCACTTCAAGCCGGAGCCCCGGTAACCCGTTAAGTTCCCCGCGGCAAAATCCAGGAATTTGAGGATTGTTGGGGATTCAGGAATTGGGGAGATGGGAGGGATGGAGGGAAATTAGGCCTCCGGTAACCTCACTCACACAAGGAAACACAACGCACGAGTTGCTGAGATCAGACGTTCGTACCTACATCGAATGTTCATCTAATGTTGCCCCCATTATACAATATACATGTCTTACAAGAATCCCTCTCCCTGAAGCCTGGACCGAGCGGAATAATATAAAAAGGGTGACAATTGTAGCATTAAGTTCAGTCGGTCGTTGCAGTTGGATGGAGTCGGACGAATATCGGTGACATTGTTTATTACTTAAATATTGTGCCTAATTGTTATTGTGTACTTGTTGCTATATCAGCTACTTATAATATTGTTGTATTGGGTTGTTAATACTCATATCAATTGTACTGCGCATGTACCTTTCTATTTATTAATAAATAAGACATCAGTCTATTAGGTTATGTTTCCGTGTGTTTTTTTTTAAATCTTATTTTTTAGTGTTTATAAGACATGCATAACAAAAAGACAGACAGCGGAAAACGACATTGTTTCTTCGTTTTATGATACTTATACTAATCTATAATTTATACATACAATAAATAAAATAATGTCTACTGACAGAAAAACGAATTAGCTACTTTCTTGGCATAATGGATGAAGTGTTCTGATCCTGGTCTGCCAACAAAGATATAACATTACATAATCGTATGTATCTATGTGGCGTGCACGCAATGCAGAAATATTCTACATGGCCATAAAAGTATAATATTTCAGAATCTCTACTAAAAATTTTGCAAAAAAGGCGAGATGCTAATTACAATAATGCAATAAGTACCTTTATTGCCTACTAGCTTCTGCCCGCGACTTCGTACGCGCAATCCCGTTTTCTCCCGTTCCCATAAGATTTTCAGGATTTTTTTCTATCATAAGAACCTTTTCCTGACAATAACAAACAACAAAAAATATCAGCCAAATCGGTGCAGCCGTTCTCAAGTTATGGCGTGATAACGGGAAACGGGTTTCATTTTATATATATATATATATATAATATAGATTCATTGAATTATTGCATATGTTTATAGTGTAATACGTGCAATCTGTGTGATCCAAACAAGTTCCATGAGGAAGAATATGATCTGCTGAAAGATGATCTCGCCAACATTTCCTACCTAGCTTTCTTGAACACAATTGGTGCATGACAGATTCTGCACGGTGCAACAATCTTACTAACACATAAGTACTGCCAGATATAATATACACGGCTACAACTACGTGTTGACAACAGACGAACTATTACCTCTTTTGTGCAGCATTACATAATACATACATACTAGCTACTTACTTCCGCGCGGTTGGACCCGCTTTGCTCAGCTCCTATAGATCGTAGCGTCATGTTTTATGCCTTCCTCGATAAATGGACTATACAATACAACACAAAAACAACCAAACAAACAAACTCTTCAGCTTGATATAGTAAAATAGTATATAAGTATTTAAGTACCAATACAAACCAGCTGTGGTTTAATGGTGCAAAAAAATTTTTAAACTGTACTGAAATGTAATAATAAAAAAAAAAAAAAAGTTAAGTAGAGATATATGTGATATCAAAGATAGGATCATATTATCATTTTGTACACATTTCAATAAATAGGTAATATTAGGTAAAGTCGCCAAAAATTATTACAAATAATTATGTATTATACACAAATTAATATTGTTAACTTAAAACTTCGTAGTAAAATGACATCTTTTGCATAATATTATTCATGTAAAGTTAAAAAGCCATGGTGTGCCATTTTAAGTCTATGAAAACAAAATCAACAATAAAATAAAAAAGTAACTACAAAATAAAACTAAATTACACATTGAGATTAAAAGTAACTTAACAAAAATAAAACAGTTGTTTTTCTGATTTTTTTGTGTCCTTCATCTTTGGGGAGCACGCTGTGAGCCATCTCAGGCACCTACACCTAGGTTGAAAAAGAATCTCGTAAAAATTGAAAACGAGATATAAAATAATAACACTCTCGTGTAATTCACTGTTAGATAGATGAATGATGAATTAAGATTTCTTTCTGTTTAAAGCAAAGAAATTTGTTTCTAAAAATATTAAGATTTTGTAAAACGGGTATCGTCTTGAACCCAAGCAAAAAAAAATGTCATGCCGTTTGACGATGCGCCGTTAATGAAAAGTGTCTACACTTTTATTTAATTTGCTAAAAGCACAATCCTTTTAAGTTGCATATGTTTCGGATAATCATAACTGTATTTTTTTAAAAGTGGGCCACCTTAATAACCTGGCCATCTTTAACAAACCTATTATATAACTAAGTGCGTTTGTGCACATAATATATGTATGTATGGATTTATGTATGTCTGTTACTCTTTTACAAAAAAGTAATGGATTTGGTTGAAAGGGCATAATTTTGGTGTAGAGATATCTAGATTAGAGACTGAAATAACAGATAGAGCAATCTTTACTTCAGCAAAGTGGGCGAAGCCACTGACAGTTACATAAAAATAATTTAACTAACATGTTTTCAGTTGTGTAACCTTTGGAACTTAGGGACAGAAAGTCTTTTTATTGCTTACAAAAACAGGCTTATATGCAGATTGGCATATAAATGTCATGTACAGAAAATTAATCAGTTGAAGATAGCAGCTACAAAATTTAGTTGCGAGATTCCACTTCACACGAGGTCTACACATAGTCAGAGGCAGAGGTGCACATTACACCACTGTACAATGTAACACCCACTTTTCACTATTTATGTTATGACTTCCATGTAATAGGGGGTGAGCCTATTGCCATATACCAGGCACAGTTCCAGACTCCGTGCTACTACTGAGAATTTTTTAAAAACCTAGTAATACTTTGCCCGACCCAGGAATCGAACCCGAGACCCCTTACCCGGCAGTCGCAATTGCGACCACTCGGCCAACGAGGCAGTCTGAAGTTGAAATAAATAAATAAACAATTTTAATCATGTTTTATTTTTGTTGATGTGGTTCATGCCACATAAGCTTTAAACAGTTGACTACAACTATTATTACATCAAAGAAACATTAAATGCTTTACTTAAAGAATTTTCGGGAGTGATCCGTGTACACCCTGTATGGCTCTCATGTAACTTCATCATGTGATAGCATTGTCCATTTCAATATGATTAGGTACCTAGTTAGTACAAAATAACTGGGACTCAGAACCAGTTTTGTATTTGCCTCTGTAGTAGTTGAGTAGTTTTATAATTTAGGAAAGGTAACCAGAGGCAGATATTAAATGACACTTATTCTAATTTCTTACCATCGTAATGGGCACAATACCAAGCCTCAGGTTGTTAAGCTAGCTAAGATCAATGATTTGCAAACCAAAACACATGATTTCAAGGAAGCATGACATTGTTAGAACTTCGAGAATGGTAATAACTAGTAATGTATAATGTAAGTGGGTAACTATGACCCTGCACAAAAAACAAAAATGGCCTACAACTGTTTTTTAAGAGGTATATTTTTTATATATTATTAACTTTTAAGATTATTGTATTTAATCATTATCATATATCTTATATAATTATATAAAGCAGAAGATTAAGTTTGAATGAATCTCTATAACTTCTGGATTGAACTTAATAATTCTTTTAAGTAGGAATCAAGGAAGGCTATAAAACATCAAACTAGCTATAATCAAAGAAGCCGAACAGTAAGTGAACCTGTATGGGTATAGCTGGCTAGTATTAACTACATACATATAAAAAATAATATTATGCAGCTGAAGAAACTAAACATTAACTCGTTGAGTACCGGTTTTATAGACACAATTAAAGAACAATAGGTCGCGGTCACCGGTGACCGCTTGGTGTTTGACAGTTTAAATAGGCTGTATTTATAACTATCAATTATTAATAATGGTCCATTATTATTTTTATTTAATTTTATAAATAACACATTAGCATTTAGATGTGTACCCAATATTTTACAGTTTTATTCTCAAAGTATTCATAGTCAGCTTAACTCTATATCTGCCTAACATCAATTAACACTGGCAGTTATATGACATCATGAACACAATAAATTGACTTAACAATGAAGCAACTAGCATAAATTCAGAGGCCTTGTAAAAATTGAGAGCCTATTGAGATTTCTTTACAGTTTGCACATTTATATAAGTTTGATTGGAATTCGGAATGTCAATATTTCAATAGCCTCAACCAGAGTTACCCAGTTTGAGGTGTAATGTTAAACACTATATTATACTGTACCTAGTATAATATAGTGAGTACTATTAGAAATAACAACAAAACAATTATTGTTTTGTCAAATGCTGATCATCAATGCTTTCAGTAATTAATAATTTGTATCAGATTATACTACATTTCCCCAACAATTTATTTAAATAGTACACAATAACATTATTTCATTTGCCCTGTTCATGGGTAAGCTGAGAAAGTAAGTCGGGTATCCCAGTACGCTAATAAATAAGCCGTCACTCATCAACTTGTGTCAATGAGTGTTGCTGTACAGTTCAATCACGATCAGTAATACTTGTGCAGTGCTAGTGGATTGGACAACTTTTGTCTTATTAGTATAGCAGACATGTCACCATAAGAACCCCATAAGACAAGCGTAATGAATGAAAGAAGTGTGTTCACCCATGTTATCTGATGGTTAAGTACACAGCATTACAGTGTGATAAGATAACGCGACAGTGCTGCGTCGCTCGACGGCCGCGGCGCCTTGGCGGCGGCAGGTGCCGGCGCGGGCGCAAGGCGCGCTTGCATCACCACCACAACCCGGACGAGATTGCACTTAAACTTCTGCCTAGTCAAGGTCTTTCTCTACCAACTTGGTAAAGTGACGCCGTTCGTTTTCCACGTCTCACTTACCTACGTAACTTGGCTCCATTTTCGCAGACACTTATCCGGCTCCGACCAAGAACCTTTGATCCAGTTCAAGTGATGATTGAAAAGGTTTTCTGAGACATGACAACACGCACACACGCACAACCACTCCCGTGTAAACTTTGATTGACCAAACTTTTATAAACAAGGTTTCGTAAAACTCTAAGAAATAAATCACTGCCAAAAATTTAACACATATCACTTCAATTTTTCGACAAAGTATCCGCGCTGACACACTTAAAAAATTAGAATATAGAAACAACGACACAGCGTGGAAAACATCGCGGCACAGTAAAGTTAAATAACTTAGTAAGAAACTAACTAAGGAACTATGAAAATGACAGCAGCGGCGACAGCAAGTGGCAGCGAGTCGAATGAGATGGGAATGCGAGTGAGTGAGATAACAATAAACGCCTATTACAAATCAACTTAGTTGTCAGAACACAAACATAGATGGCAGTATTTACAATTTAGTGTTCATCGAATTATTAATGACATAAAAAATGATAATTATAATATTTAATTAATTATCAATTAAGTAGTAAAATACAAGCTCCAGCAAAAAAAACTATCTCTCAAATAGGCTGGCAAGTTAAAATTTATTAACAATATAATTTAAACGAGCAGATAAAGCAGATTCTATAAAGTTTTGTCTTGTATGTATGTACGTTCTCTTTTGGAATTGGCATATCAACATTTGGAGCCCGTTTAAGGTATGGCACTCCAGACGAATTGATAATATTCAAAAGAAATTCGTCCAAATAATGTTTAGATTATTGTTGCTGCCATAATCTATTATAACCTTCATCTTTAAGTCTACAATTTATCATAGCTCTCCGATGAAAAATACTAAGAATTACTAAGTATCTAGTAATTCTAAACTAAGTAAAGATTGGTTGCTTCATTGGTGCCGGCCAATCAGAGTGCCGAACTTGAAACGTAAAACAAACTCGTACTAAGGCCTCTGGTCATAATTTGATAAGTGGGGTATTATTAAAAGCGGCTCATTAGTCCACTGGTTATAGGCTTCATAAAACTAAGTGAAATTGCAATTATGGTGCCCTCCAGAAGCCAAAAAGATCGTGAATGAAGAAAGAAGTTTGTCTGAATATATCGCGTTTTTGGTATTAAATGAAACGGTATAACTAGCATACATTATATATACATTAAATCTCCAAATTGCTTACATAAACAGGATAAATAGAAAAAAAATGCCATTACAAAGTAGGTACTGTAGAGCAGTGTGACATACGACCACGGTTATCCTCTCGGGTTTTAGTTTTATAACTGAATTTTTATTTCCATTTTTGGGGTATAAGTACAAATAACTAAAATATTTAAAAATGTATTATAGTAAATCATTATTTTTGAAGTCGGTTAATTACAATTTTTTATATTTCTGTTATTGTTGTTGCAGGGCTTTTAGGACTGAGTCAAGTACATATTTCGATCTCAAAATTGACAGATTTCAGTGTCATACAGTACGTACTGGTACTGATAGAAGGCAAATAGTTGATAGATACTCACATTTACTAGTAGATAGGTGCTTCTCATACGGCGCATGAGCATACGCCGGTGTATCTCCAAGCTCCACGACCCAAGTCACTCTTCGAAGGCCCAACACGGGCGACGGTGGCGCCATCTCATGACTGTCACTAGCACCAATTCAGAATTGACAATTATTAAGCCAATTGTATTCTAGATCTAACCTAATATTCACAAAAATGATCGCTTGTTTACAACGTAAAGCCCTAGTGATTTTTTATGGAATGAACACAGTCTATTGATACCGTCTGCAGTCCGTGATGTGATATTAAAAATATTATTATGTACATGGTATTATAGTTGATATAGGTAGGTACTTACACAGTGCACTATGGAGTCCTTGTAGCTAAAACGCTGAGTGAATTATTTATCTAATTAGTACCTATATTCACATCGGCGATTCTTATAATGATCGACAGCTGGAGATAATTACGTAGAGGCTTATCAACAGGTAGGTACGTTATCAAACTCAATAATAAATAATAATAATTGGTATAATGACAAATAAGTTATATATTTGGAGTTTGTTTACTTTTAATTTTGAAAATAGACATACCTACTCATTGAAACAAAATATTGTACCTACCTAGCTGTTTGTTAACCGTAGTTTGAGAGACACAGGCTTCGGCAACCAAATGGGCGTGAAACAACCGAAACACAAAACTTTCGCCATGCGACCCATTTCCCCCTCTCCCAATCCCCAAATCCTCTATTCTCAAATCCCTAACACCAAAACACCGGCAAAACACTTTTATAGGTAAGGTATCTCTTTTTTTTTTTTTTAAGGGGGAAAATCATCGAATGACTGCTCCCGCCTGGGTGAGGCGGAAGGGAGTGTCAGACTCTTACTGACTAAAAACCACCCCGTTCCTTCTCCTGCACGTCGAGCCGGAGCCCCGGTTACCCGTTAGGTTCTCCGCGACTCCGAATCGGCATCGGCCCTATTGGGCCCCATCTGTGGTGGTCTGATGGCTCTTTGAGGCGCGCGCGGAACGCGACGCGCCGTACGCTCGGGTCTGTTTTTGGTCGGACGGGGAGCCACCCATGCTCGCCGTCCGCAGGCCCGCGCTTACGGTGGCCGGAGATCGTCCCGCGATCCCCGACGCCCGGTGTGTCCTTCGCGATGGCTGGGTTGCGAGGAGGCAGCATTTCGCGGCCTCACGCGTCCCGCCTCCTCCTTAGCTAGCATGACTGCTTCGCAAAAGGAGGAGACGGCATCCCAGTCCCCCTCGCTCCGCATCATGGCCTGCACTAGGCCCGAACGCGAGAGGTCGCCATCGCCGATCACTTCCCTGAGGGCACGGCGGTGCTCAGCCCACGCTGGGCATTTCGCTACGGTGTGTTCCACCGTGTCCTCAGGGCGAGGTAAGGTATCCCTAGTGTTTCATTCCGGGTTCCCATGAGCGGCGCCGATTGCTTACTTTGCTTAGGTAGGTAGGTAGGTAGGTACCATCAGAACCGTATGAACGCCATGAACGGGAATACAATAACATCTGCAAATTGATTAATGCTTATCTGTTAACTAGCTGTTGCCCGCGACTTCGTCCGCGTAGATTAATGAGTTCTGGCTGAATTCATCAGAATCAATTTAGTGCCTAGAGATTAGTGATATTTATTGAGAAATGAATTTATCGTGGTTTCAAAAAAAATTGTAGCCTTCATGTATTTTATTTTAATCTACAGTAAAGATTAAATGTACCCAATTTGCATGCCAATAATGGTAAATGTGCTGATCTAAATATATTGTATGTAACATCTATATCATGTACCACATTGAGCAAATAAAGAATTATTATTATTATGTATGTCTTTACCATTCACGGGACCACAGGGTCCCGGTCATTTGGGAGGCGTACGAGGGGCCGAAGCCAACTGCGCAGAGGCCCTTTAGACAACTATAATATAAATGTAATGGACACACAAACCGGCGACTATCTCTGTATGCACTATGGAAATGCACCCAAGGACAGTCCCCGGTTAGTGTAGGACTATTGTGAATAATGGAAAAAAAAGGTAGGGCTATGGATGGGTTGTTGTGGACTGGTAAATTGGGAACTATGGATGACTATGACACCTGCCGAAACAATGTAATTTTTACACGTAAAAATGGCAGGCGGAGACTCGCCAACTCACCGACCGGGCCCCGGGAATGGTTGCTAGATATAGCAACAGAGGGGCAACGAGAATGTGAGTGGCTGAAGGGTTAAGAAACTACCACCGCTTTCTACTCAGATCATCTGCTCCAGCCGAAGCCTCCTGCATCCCTGGCCCACTCGCGACTTACGAATAGTTTCTTACCCTCCGAGCAGGATCACTGCTCTCGCGACTCCACTCTGGACGGCCAATGAAGGCAAGCCAGAGGTGGGAGACCTGTTCCTTGTCATCTTTCACTCCAGCCAGCCAATTAAGGCAAGCCGGAGAAGAAGGAACGGTGACTTCTCCCTGGAGCACTCGGGATGATGGTAGCCCGCGGGATCGCTAATGCCCGTCACCTCGCCTCAAGGTGCCCTGCGGGCTTATTATTATTATTATTATAAAATAAATAGTCACGCACCACAATCTACCTCATCCCGGTCCCTGCAGCCGTTTTCATGCGACAGAGTAACAAACATAGGTACATACAAATTCACCAATTTTCGCATTTCCAATAGCGGTTTAAGCTAATTTCGACCATCGGCCCTACAGTTACAGTGTGAAGTCCACTGCAGGTAACCCAACATTCAACAAACTTATATTTGCGTTTGGTACCGTAATCGTGTCTAAGAATCGAGCCGCACAATTAATTTTGTTTTTTACCGACTTCAAAAAAAGGAGGAGGTACTATGTTCGGCTGATTGTTTTTTTTTTGTTTTTGTTTGTTCGCGCAGTACTTCGCCATTTGTGAACCGATTTCCAAAATGTTTGTTTTGTTTGAAAGGGTATACTCCCGAGATGGTCCCTATCCGGATCTGATGATGGTATCCTAGGGAAACCGAGGGGAACTTTCGAAAATTCTATGGGCGAGTAATGCGTCTATTATGTTTTTCAATTAGGATTCTTAAACACTACAATTTGATAAGGGTCTGGAGTCGACCTGATGATGGAGCCGATAGCCAGTCGAGGGAACTCCTCAGCGGTTTATATTAACTACCTTGTGTTTGGGCTTGATTAATTTGTATTGATGAGGACTTTACACCTAGATAGAGTGGGGCTGTCTTTAAGAGTCTGATGATGAAGAAGTGTAATTGTTAAGGGAACTCCTCAACGGTATACAGTAACTACCTTGTGTTTGGGCTTGATTAATTTGTATTGATGAGGACTTTACACCTAGATAGAGTAGGGCAGTCATTGAGGGTCTGATGATGAAAAATTGTAATTGTTAAGGGAACTCCTCAACGGTATACAGTAACTACCTTGTGTTTGGGCTTGTATAATTTGTATTGATTACAACTTTGCACCTATGTAGATTATAAGTAACAAAACGGGTATATGTAGCTTTACACTGAAAATGATAAAATAATAAAATAAAAACTGCGTCATAGGTAAGAAGTCGGTGCCATAAGTTCCATACAAAATTAATTATTAAAACCTTAATAGGTACCTAATTCACAATTTGTGGACAGTTATATCATTATGATATGAGCTTATGGCACCGACTTCTAACCTATGTGGGTGGGTAACCTATCAGTAGGTACTACTTAATAATAGTTATTTTTTTGCTTTATAGTTTTGACTTTTTGTTTGTTTTTGGTTTTTTGAAGTCGGTTTTTTAAACGCAGTTTTTATTTCATTAGTGTGTATACTTTTACGGGTTACAAACTGCCTAGTGTCAGGATGAATCGGACCGGTAGTTCTTGCGTGATGCGTACACATACAGACAGGCTAGATTTTTTTAATCACATTTTTGAGTTCGGTATCTATCCAGTATCACACTCCATGACTCCACTATTTATTTTGTTAATAT